CAGGACTGATGGTAATATTTAGCATATTAAAATACTTCATAGGGAAATAATGAATGAATTTACGTAATGGGCTCAAGAAATACTTTGATCACCTCTTACCACTTACCTCGGTAACACACAAGGTGGACACAGATGTCTCCCATTGCACCCAGTGTGATGCTCCTGGTGAACACTTATGACTGCAGAAAGTGCCTACACTGACAGAGCCTGTGCCAGCACCACCAAACCAGGACACACAATGGTCCCATCAGCCTGGTGCAGGGGCTGATCCACATGGGTGAGAGGCACAGCTCCTGTCAGTGAACCATTCTGAGGCTAAACTAGTCCCAGCTGCAGGAAAAGAAATCAGGTTTGTTACTTAAGGCATGCTGTATCAAGCAGCATCACTACCCACAGTGAGCTGGTGCTTTAGGTAGGTTTTTGCCCCCTAATTTCACAGTCCAAAAGATGCTTTGCCTGTACCTTCAGGGGACTCGGATCAGTCTGCATTGAGTCCTTCCACAGAGGAAAGCAGTTTAGTTACTCTATTTTCATGTATTCCCAGATCACGTTGAAGCCTTTGATTAACAGGAGGTAAATGCACTCCATTTGCTGGAGGAAAAGGTTTTTCCCTGTCCTCAGGACACGGCAACCTTCCCAAATCACTTGTTGCTACTTGGACCTTTTCTGAGTAGAAGGAGTTCCACAGCTGACAAATCTGCAGCTCATGAAGAGCTTGTTTGAAGCGATTGTTCTGATGCTGTTGTGCTGCTGATTCAGGAAAGAGGTTTCCCCAGCTGATTCTTAAAGCATTTTGCCCCATTGATGATTCAGTCTTTTTCCTTCAAGCACAGACCTCCTTCCAGATAAAGCTCTGTTAGAAAGCTTGCATTGGCCCTAATTAAACTGCAGCTCTGGGAAACTGTAAACAGTGGATCAGCAAATAAAAATCAGGGTAGAATTTGTGAGCTTGCATTCTCCCTGCCCTCCCAATTCCTCAGTTTATCATAGGAGGAGGAGTGAATATTTGCAAGGTTGATTTCCTATTGCAAAGGCTAGCTTTTGATGCTGTTTTTCTCTAAATCTGCAGGAAGGCTGCATCTGGACCGCATATAAAGTCATGTCAGTCCTTTGGAAATGACTGAATAATCCTTCACAACAAGCCTCTCCCTTTGGAAAGACCTGAGCTAAACCATCGAACTCGGGCCCAAGCTCCCTCTCACCTGAACATCACTTTACACCAAACTCTTCTGCTTGCCTGAAGCCACCATAAACCAACTTTTCAGTCTCAAAGGTGCTTTCAGGACAGAGCAAACTCTCTCCCTTAGTTAAATGAATGCTGAACTAGTAAAGCACAGCCTCATCCTGCCACTGACCCCAGCCACATCACTGAAAACCAAAAACCCCACAGCAAATGAAGTAGCAGGAAAAGAGGAGCAATAACAAAGCCCTATTGATGCAGAGCAATCAATCAATCACCATTTTGCAGAAGGAAATGAATGGCCCATTAAGGAAAGAGTCGTAACCTCAACTTCCCTCTAATGGGTCTTGGTCCTAGACTAGCTGGCATCAAAGGGATTTGAGCTCTAAGAAAGGACCCCATGTGGTCTGGCTGCTTTAACAGCAGGAAGGGAGAGGATTTGCACAAGCAAGGCAAGAAACCTACCCCAGCTGAACCCAGCACAAAGAGAGGGGTGAAGGAAGAGCTCTGCTACACCTGAGGAGAAGCAGCTTTCCCTGTCTTTTTAGTTGGTTAGTGAGAGAAAAAGCCCAAGTCTCTTTTCTTACTAACACATCACAGCTTGCATAGACCACATCTTGCCTCTTGCGACCCCGCAGCCGTTTGCAAACCTTAGTTAAGCAAAACACTGAAAGTAAGTTCACAGCTCAGCTCTGATAAGTGTCCTGCACCTGAGGGCTGCTGGTTTCCTTGAGGAAATTGGGATGGCACGGAAACAGGTTCCACCAGTGCAAAAATCTTCCTGTTCAACCGCCTTGTCTACAGCAGTACAGGATCCAAATGGTTATCAAAATTCCTTGAACAAGTAACAACCTAATACTCACCTGTTGTCTGAGTCTAAATATGCTGGTTTATTACAGTCCATAAACCAAGGAGAAGGACACTGACACATATTCACTTACCCTACCATTCAAGTTCTGGGTAGAAGAGGCAACACCTTCCGGCTTCTTCCCATACCAAACCATACGAGGTCCAGTTGGGACCCAGCTGATTCAGGCAGCATGACTCTGCAGCTGTGAACTGGTGCTGGGTGGACAAACTGGTTGCACTGCTGTTAGCTCTGCATAGTCTGCATCCTCAAACATCCACCAACACAGGATTTTCAGTCATTGCTGCAGCCTGGTTTGGGAGTTTGTTTCATTTCTAAATTTGATGAACTCAGAGTAGGCACAGAAGAAACCAGACAAAAGCCATGTGACCAGAAAACAGCAGAAGACTGAAGCTGTGAGCAACTTAAGGGCTGCACAGAGTGGATCTCCACCCATGGACCTTCTCCTTGGCTACTGACTTGCAAAAGCACATCCAGCTCCTCAGTAAGTGGAGCAGCATGGGAGGGATGACAAAGCATGAAGGGCAGGGCTGAAGGAGATGAGACAGAGACACTGCTGGCACCAGCTACATGGACAATGCCCAGCGATCCTGAAAGGACCTACCTTGTAGACCTGAAGGTCTACCTGACAGGAGGATGGAGCCAGGATGGGCTGGGCTCTGCTCCCAAGGAACAAGGGATGGGACAAGAGGAAACGGCCTCAAGCTGCACCGGGGCAGGTTTAGATGGAGCTCAGGAACAATTCCTGCCCCAGAGGGTGCTCAGGCATTGGAACAGGCTGCCCAGGGCAGGGCTGCAGGCACCGTCCCTGCAAGTGTTCACACAGCGTGGAGATGAGGCCTCAGTGCCATGGGTTAGTGGTGGCCTTGGCAGTGCTGGGAACGGTTGGACTGGATGAGCTTAAAGGGCTTTTCCAATCTGGTTAGTTCTGTGGTTCTATGGCACAACACACACCACTCACCCCCCACCCCTCAAGCTGACTGTCCAGAGACCCCCATGTCTGACACAGACATGAACCCTCCAAGCATTAAAACCTAAGCTGGGGTCTCAGACAGTGTTTGGCGTTATATATAACAAACACTTAACTACATCTCATCCAGGCGTCTGTTTCCAATTAACAGGTATCTAGAATGATACTATAATACTTTTCAAAGCAACCCCCAGAATCAATACCCCAATAGTAAGCTCTGTTTTTTTGCATGTGGAACAAAAGGCAGTTTGGAAGAAGATGACCTAATACACCACATATTGATTAATCAATTCCAGGCAGGATGCTAATGGGCTTTTCTTACAACGGTTGACATTAGAAGGAAGGAGCAGGACTGCTGAATGAGAATGGGAGAAACTGCTTGTGTGATGAAGTTTCAGGGTGAGGGAAGGGCATGCAGTGGGAAACAGGCCCTTCTAGAGATAGCTGTTAACTGGGCAGAGACTGGGAAGAAATGAAGAAACCGGGGCACAAATGGAGAAGGTATTAAATAGATATATTGGCTTCGAACACAGCAAAATTGTACCATAATTTGCTCTGGCTGATATAAATAATATCTTCCTGTTGTTACAGAAACCCTCACAGGAAGGTCTGTGGAAAAGCCCAGCATCTGTCTAGAGTCTATAATGAAGTAGACTAGTCAATTTGTAGTCCTAATGGCCAGTGAACTGGTCGGGAGGCATTATTGATGCCTACCTTAGTTATTTTCCCAAATTGACACTTCTGGCTAGGAGAGTGTGGTGTAATTCAGACTGTCTGTGCTCAGCTGTCAGATTGTCCTTCCTTCTACAATCAATGCAAAGAAGCAGCCAGCATGCTGCCCACCATCACTTGCTCTCTCCTTCCTGCTCTGTACCTCATCAAGTCCTTTATTACCATAGAAAATTAAGTCCAAATCAGCTGGACCTCCCTCCATACCCAAACCACAGCCCTTTACACCCACTGTAGGAACACGTGAAGAGCTAAGCAAATCATAAAGCTGGGGAGAACAGGTCTGCAACAGACACACAGGTCCCTTAGAGCTCCTGAAGAGCAGCTCTCATGCTTTGTGAGGGATATGGTACAGCTGCTGGAACCCAGATGAAGGGCTCTATTCCCAAACTGTTATAAGGGTTAGGTGCTTGCTTCTCAAGACAGGACACCTCAAATGTGTAGGTATGAATTACAGACACAGATGAGAGCACTGCACTGCCTGAAAGCCAATGGAGTCATTCAGTTGTTGCTAACTGGGTGAGGTTGCTCTACTCTTTTATGTTTCAAATTGTAATACTGAAAATAGCAAAACTGGCCAAGAGCTTTTGACCTTGACTGGTTGTGTCAGGCATGGCTCTGGCTGGCAGGAGGCACAGACAGCAAAGACCCTAGGTGTGGAAATTCAGCCTGGTGTATCCTCTCTACAGCCAACAGGGTCATGTCAGGTGTGAAGGTGACTGATAAGGCTTTGTAAAGCTGTACTGGAGTTGCCAAAACTAGCACCGGATCTCAGTGCTAACATCCAGCTGATGCTGTTCACTGGTGTGGATTGCAAGTTGGATCACAAAGGCTATACCCAGTCAACCTCTAAGTACAAAATATCAACAAGTCACTGGTGTTGCCACCCTATACTGTGCAATTTGGTAACTGATTATGGGGCATCATGAGAACATGCTCCTACTCACCCACCCTACAGCAGAGCACAGTAGCATCTTGGAGTAACACACATTAGCTCTTACATACAGCAGCACCATGCTGCCACAAGACAACGTGTTGCAGGTAAGCAAGTCTGCAGCCTCAAACCACATCAGTGGTTCACAGGCTCCTACAGGACCTACAGAAAAACCCTGAAGAAAAAAGGATAAATCATCCTAAAAAGCAGGATGAGGCGCTAACCAATAAGGGAAAAAAGCATAAACTAAGTTACTTTTTTCCAGAACAACCTTTTACAAACTACCACAACACATCACAGCACTCAGCAGTGGACTCACATTGTAGAGGATGTCGGTCCATCCCTCCATGGTGATGCACTGGAAGACGGTGAGAACAGCAAAGAGGATATTGTCAAAGTTGGTGATGCCATAGTTGGGTCCTTGCCAGTACTCCCTGCAGGTGGTCCCACTCTCACACTGCCTGGCAGGAGGCTCCTCTCCACAAGGGAAATCTCCCACCTCATCACCTGCAGAGAACAACAGGGGCAAAAGTTACCGGCTGAAGCCAGCCAAGCAGCTGGTGCTGCTGCATCCTCCTGGCACCACTGCCTGAGTGGAATTCAGGCTTCCTTGTGCCACTGTGGGAAAATAAAAGAGGTTAAACCCATGTAAGCACTTATATACTGCTCTGGGGTGATTCAATGGCAGGGTGGAGCAGAGTTATCCCTGAAGTACCCATAATTTCTAGTTTGCCCCAGTGTTCAGTCATGTCATACATGAGGAACGCCACAGAAAAACCCCACTGTGGTAAAAGCAAGGGGTTGGGAATGGTGCATACTTCAAACACTGTAAGCCGAACAGACATCCTCATACAGCAGAATTCAGTGCTAAATATCAGCCCTACCACATTAAATCAAAAAGGCAAATTCTACACCAGTGACTTAAGCAAGAGTGGCTTGTGGATATCCCCAAAACTGCTCAAACACAGATGTTAAACCGCAGCTGCATAGCTTCCTTGCAATGTATGACCACAGCAGTCTGTGAAGTGGACTAAGAGCTCCAGCCTCTTTGGAAGCTTCATATTCTGTCCCAAAAGGGCAGATTGCAGGTACTTGTCAGGGGAAGCATCCAGCCATCAGCTTGTCTGCAGCAGGGATGGAGTTTCTCTGATGAGCTTCATTTCAGACCCACAGAAGGCACAGGAGGAGGAGTCTCTCATAGTTAAGGACCACAGGGGATGGCCAAAATGGTGGGCAGCATCTTCCAGGCTCAGCTGTGAAGTGTTGCAGCCCTCCAGAGATGCTGAGAGCATCAACACAGAGCGTTTGGAAAACTAAAGTCCTGGGGTTTTCAAAGTAAATAAATATACTAAGTAATACTGCCGTTTACACAGAGATGCAATTCGGGAAATATTAAAGAGGTTTAAAAGTGACATGTTATGGTAATGGAGCAGCAAACGGCACAGAATCAGATTCACCAGGGGAAAACAAGATCAGCACTAACAATAATTAGGAATAATCATTCCATAGAGCAAAGCCTGCAGGAGGAAAACAAGACTGGCACTGTGGCTCCAGGAGATCTATACATATATATACATATATATATGTGTGTGTGTGTGACATGTTTTCCTGTTAACTCAACACCTTAATGCAGGGCATCTCTCTCCAGCTCCCGTATGGGCCACCACAGGCTTAGTGAGACAAGCAAAAAGAAAATACCAAATCTGATGCTTGCAGGCCATTTGTGAGTGTGTCTTAAAATAGGACCCAGTTTTATCTCTGTTTGGCCTTTTATTGCCAGGTAATGCTCTGAAAATGCAATGCACATCTACTGTGAAGGTCTCTCCTTTTTAAAAGGGAGACCAGAACTGGTCCCTGCTCCCATAGCTGGAAAAGACAGAGAAAAGGGGGGAGACTCAATGTAAAATGGGAAACAAACATGATGCCCTCCTCTGTTGGAATGGCTCTGGGGCACTTGGGCTCCAGAGCTGCAGAGGGTGGCTGCTTAAAAATAATCCAGCAGAACAGGTCAGCACAGAGGATGCAGGAAGGGGAAAAACAAGTCAGGCATGCACTGGAACATGCACTGGCATTAAATCTTACCCATTTTCCATTAAAATAGATAAATAATTCTACTAGCTCAGAACAACCTGTCAGGCTGAGTGGCAATGGCCTTAAATAACCCTTCTGCTGTGTTCCGATCCGCAGCATCCCTCTCTGTTGACGCTTATTACTGACCTACCCAAGGCTACTGGATTAGCAGGGCTGTAGCAACATTTGCTGTTGACACCTCTACCCTGTTCCCTTCATGATGCGCTGAAGGAACAGCTGGTACCTCTCATGTGGCTCCTGATTCCAGGAAAAATCCCAGGAGTTTGCTCACTTTGAGGATTTGGAACAGAAACAAGCGCGAACGGCTCCTCCACCAATCTGCTACTCTCTGACAGAGGCATCAGTTAATGAGGTTCACATTTCCACACTCAAGCCAGCCTTTGGAGCTCATGGTATCAGGCCTGTGCTTGTTAATGCACCTCTTTGAAGATGATGAGCACTTAGGTTTTAAAAGGCTCTGCTGATGGCTTTGTGGGATGTTGTGCTGCTCCGCTCACAAGGGACCACAGCGCCAGGAAACCTCACCACTCCCTGCCTTTCCAGAAACACCATCATGCTATTTCCCGCCGAGCAGGAGGAATCAATGCCCATCATTCATCCACCAACCAGCTCATACCCCTTGGGAAAAGCAGGGGCCAGTGCCTGTTTGTGAGGGTACCTTCCCTCACTTCCTGGTGAGTGGATTCAGGGGGAGGTGAGATCCTGCATCCTCCCACCGAGATGCTGGGTGTCGTAATGCAGAGATATTCAACACACACAACAGTTTGTCAGCTGCACTCCCAATTCCTAGCCCGAAGCCACCCAGCAAACAAGAGTCACTTAAGTACAACAGAAATCTGCTCTCAGTCCCCAAGCTTTGCACCTTGCACAGAGACCTCTCAGTCATCACTGATGCTGGAATGTTTCCTGCAGACAACACAGCTTTGTGATCTATTTTCTGCTTTTATATTAACTATTTTCTGGGAGAAGTTAAAAATAACCCCTCTTCTCTTTAGGCCAATGGCCAAATACAGCCCATAAGTCCCACTGGCAATAAGAGCCTCAGAGCTCAGCCTACAGCCACTACCCTTCTCTTTAGGCCAATGACCAAATAGAGCCCCTAGGTCCCACTGGCCATAAGAGCCTCAGAGCTCAGCCTACAGCCACTACTTGCAAATGAGGGGTGCAAAAAAAATCACCCACCTTAGCTGCAATTTAACACACCTGAAAATGCTCCTAGAAAATGCAGACCTGCTTGTAACTGCTTTCTCTCTGCCAAGAACACTTCTGCCTCCTACACACCTATATTGTCACTGTTGTTGTTCCTCTGTAATGGTTGCATGGCCCCAGAGGTCCTGTAGTGGGTTGAGACGTGTTCTGCTTGGCATGAACACACATCCCCCCTGCAAAAAGATAGTCATCTCCTACAAATCCAATCAGAAACTTCATTTCTTCCAGGAATGATAGAATCCCAGACTAGTTTGCGTTGGAAAGGACCTTAAAGCTCACCCAGTTCCAACCCGTTACCATGGGCAAGGACACCTTCCACTAGAGCAGCTTGCTCCAAGTCCCATCTGACCAAATCATACAATCTGGCTGTCCTTCACAAGTTGCATTATGTTTTTCTAACTAACAGAGGAAGCAAGAAAACAATTTCACCCTGCTTTTGTAAAGGGAATATATTAAACTGCTTCCACGTTGTTAGAAAGCACTGTGAAGGATGCCCAGAGATTTGGCAGGGATGTTGTTTTATTATCATTTGAATGCATATAAATAAATCAATATTAAGACCTATTAGTGATAATCACTGAAAATAAAAGACTGTGTTTAAAGACAGTCAATTGTACCTTAAATTGCAATCTTCTGGAGACAAGATCAGTTTTCAGCTGTGGACATCCCAGATAACCAACACATATTAGCACTACTATAAAGGAATATTTAAAGATTTGAGGAATTAGATGGCAAAATTTGGCTTTTTTGGTTTCAAACTGGAATGAATCCTGTGACGTGGCAACCAGTCCCAGCCCAGGGACTTGGAGCATCCTTCCTCTCCACCTCCATCATTTGGGGTTTATCCCTCATTCACATAAGGAGACATCTAATTTATTCTGCAGTGCCTGATTTCCCTTGTTTTTCTCTGTTTAAAGGACATTTTTTATCCTTTCTCCATGAAAAGGCTCCTTGCCTTCCATCTATTGCCTTTCAGGTTGCTCCTGTGCTTCTAATCTTACTATTTCACACCAAAGTTCTCATATCCATGCAGCATGCCCTAGAAACCTTGCAAGGAAGTTCAATGCTCAGCAGCTGTCATGGAGATAAACCCAATGAAAGTGGAAACAGACCAGTGAATCAGAAAAACCGACCCCAAAAAGCCTTAAACAAGCTGGAACAACAGGAATTTGGTTCTGTAGTTGTACTACAGATAAATTCTACCATGTAAGGAAGCCCTAAGCACCTTCCCCTCATTCTTGAGTAGACTGAGAGAAACCCACTCAGGGGTACCATGGTGGTACAGCAGAGAGAAGAATCTGTTCAAAACACGTAGGGTAAGCACAAAAGTCTGTTAAGTCTTGGAGTAGGTGAGTAAGGAGGGAGACAATGCAGTGAATGTGGAAAAAGGAAAAATAACATGAGAGCAGGGCAGAAAGCATCCTGATGAGGTGAAGGGGACTAGAAGCATCATGACGATGTGCTGGGAGGGGAGGAAAGCTTGAAGCTCACCCGTCTCATTAGAGAAGCAGGTTTTATGGAACTTCCCCATGTAAAACTCCAGCCCGATGATGGCAAACATCACAATGGCAAAGAAGAGGAGCAGCCCGATCTGAAGCAAGGGTACCATCGCCTTCATGATGGACTTGAGGACAACCTGCAAGCCTGTGGGGACAAGGAAAAACAGGTAATCAGTGAGGGAAGGAAAACAAGGGCTTAGGGGTGGGGTGAGGGAGGAGAGAGGGGCTCTCTAAGGGGAAGTTCAGGATTGGCAATACCAAGCAAAGCTGCTTTTCCCAGGGTGCTCTGAAAAAGATGCTACAGCCTCAGTGCACCCAAGATGTGAGAGAAACAATCAGGAGAGTTATCTTTTTCTGACCTCTTTTCTTCAGGTTGCAGATTCACGGAACCATGGAATGGTTTGGGTTGAAAGGGGCCTTAAAGCTCCTCCAGCTCCAACCCCTGCCACAGGCAGGGACCCCTTCCACTGGAGCAGCTTGCTCCAAGCCCTTGTGTCCAACCTGGCCTTGAACACTGCCAGGGATGGGGCAGCCACAGCTTCTCTGGGCACCCTGTGCCAGCGCCTCAGCACCCTCACAGGGAAGGAGAGTCGAAGTAAAGATGAGATTCAAGCCTCAGAGACACAAAAAGGACTTTTCCTGAAGCTGGTGGAGTCCCAGTGCTCAGCCTGGAGTGTGAGGAGGGCTGTAAGGCAGACCGTGCAGCAGTGGTCATGCCAGGGAGGGCAGGGAGCACTGAGCTACGCTGGAGCTGCCCCTGCTGCTGTGACACACAGAATAGCCATGATGCTGCTGTGCCTATCACACCCTAACTCTGGAGTAATACAACCCTGTCTCCAGGGCTATCCACCCATACATAGCTTTTCACTGGCACTAAAATTCATTTTCAATTAAACCCAGGGGAGATAAGCCTGGAGATGGAGGTTTCAGATAACATCAAACAGACACACAGAACAAAAAACCTTCAGTGATAAGCATCATCCGAAACATCCCTTAGTGACCTGTCCTAAGGTGTGGAGAATAAAGGATCATCATTGTCTTGCCACCCTGTACAACTCTACTGAGGTTAATACGGGTGCATGCAGAAAAAAAAAGCATAAAGGTCTGTTGGACAGTAATAACACTGAGAGTGTAGAAGAAAAGCAAATAAGACACTTGTGCTGCCTCCACTGCATCACTATAAAACAGGAGAGCAACTAATGGTCTGTGGGAAAATACTGCGCTGGTCCAGGACACGTCATTGGGTGTGAGAGCACGTCACCTTGGGGGAAACATGCAACCCACACCAGGACAGGGATACCCTTGAAGGGCCACCTTACTTCTCCAATGCCCTGTCACTACCACAGCACCATAAGTGCCTTGCACAAGCAAAAGGTCCATGAAAAAACCACCAGAAGCATCTCCTTATTAGAGATCCCATTAATAAATGACCCTTTCCCAAGGCTAGCCAAGGGCAAATACTGTGTGGGAATTCAGATTCAATCCTTGTCCATGAAAGGGTGCTGAGTTCAGGAAATTTGGGTGCTGTTACTGCAAAACATAACCCTTTGCTGGATTTCTACAGCACCAACATTTCAGTCCTGAAGCAGCCAGTACAGGGACAGAGCTGGTGGAGTAGAGGGAGCAGCCTGGCTGCCAAGGGGTTAATGCAGAGAGGAGCAGAGCATTCCATAGAGCAGCAGTTCCCTTTCACTGGCTCTTGCTGCAGGGAAAAACCTCTCTGTTCAACATTCAGAAATGAAATACCCTCAGAGTGGCTGGTGAAGAGTGACAAATAAGAAGGCATTAAGCAATGGGGTTGGGAGTCTGATGGCTTCAGGGCATCAGCAAGGCATGATGCAGCTCCTCACTGGAGCATTCAGACCCTTCATGTTAACACATACAGTATATCAAGTTGCTCATTGAGTAGGCAAGAACAAGTTCTATCCGTTCTTTGCCTTTGCTATTAAAGAGGCAAAATCCCCACTGCAAGATGCTCAGCTGGTAAAAACTGTGAGAAGATCCAAGCTCAGGGGCCTGAAAGCTGCAGAATTTGGGTCTCAGATCTTCACAGCCCAGAGAATTAATTCAACCCCAAGAGGCAAAGGAGTCTTAGGACAAATCCCCACCGCTTACCTGCAAGTTTGGAAGTGCAGTGCTGAAATCAGCTGGCTGTGTGCAAAATGAGATGGCAGGAAACCAGGGCATAGCAAGGGCAGGAGGCACAGACCACGGGGAAGCAGGGGGAGGAAATGTTGCTGAGAAAAGCATGTAACACCCCAAAAGCTACAGAGCCCCTGTGGCTGTAAGGTGATGTTATCATGACACTCACTTGGGATTCCTGACACGAGCTTCAGGGGTCGCAACACTCGGACGGCTCGCAGGGTCCGCAGGTCAAAATCAGTCCCAGCAGTTGCTAGAATCCTAAATGCAAAAGAGGAGAGAGGGGGAAAATTGACATTAAATACAAATTCCTCTTTCCAAAGCATGGGTAAGCGGTGAGTAAAACCTGGGAACATTCAAGCTGCTTTAAACTTTCCACCTGTGATCACACTGCAGATTGAGTCCACTGAAAACCATCAATCCGTGTGCTCTTCCAGAGCTGCTGAGCCTTGCTCAGACTATAAAAATTCACAATATCTGCTTGATATGAGGCCATTTATACACAGACAGCAGGCCTGGCTTGGGCCATTAAAGAGCAGCACCTTGTGCTTATAGGAAAGTATACACCATTTTCAGAAGGAATGTTATGCTAGAAATAAGCTTTTCCCTATAATGAATTCAGAAATCCCTCGAGTACTGATGTCTGGCATTTCCTAATATCTGAGGCAGTTCCTAGTTATACAATTTACTCTGTGTGTGCAACATTAATTTCTGTTCAGAGCAGCTTATTTGAGGAGAATATTGAGAGAGACGGGAGCAAGTGTTTCTTCTGATCTGCAGTAACCCTGGGTAGAAACATAGCCCCAAAACAGAACGATCCTTCAAAATGTAAGTGCTCTGCACAGAAAATGAAAGGGCTTCACTGTTCTAGGGCACAGCAAAGGAGGAAATCTTGTCACACAAGTCACAATGATGGAAACTCCTTAAGTGAAGAGCCTGCCAGGCACAGTACCCCATAGAGAGCAAGGCAAAACTGCCTTCATTAATTACCGCAGCACTTCCTATGATACTTTAACAAAACTATTCTTGATTTAAAACACAGGCCCCCTAACACACAGCCCAGAGCAAAAGGCCTCTCACCAGCTCCCTATCAACTGCACCATTTAAAGTGATTATAGCAACTGCCATGAGGTTTTGCCAGGTTTGTCCCCAGCTGGAAGTGGCCAAGCAACAAGCCCACCAGTGCGGTCTGCAAGTCCCAACCGCCTGGTACCCTGCATAAGAGATGCCACCACTTTGTTAACTACAACTGCTGAAAGCACTGCCTGGGCAGACCCAACCTTGACCATAATCAGACACTTTGCCAACCCTTCCCCAGGAGCTACTGCAGCAGGAGAGACCTGGAAACCTGGCTGGAAAGTGGGATTCCAGAGCTGCCATGGGCAGAGCTAGAGGGAGGATGCCAGGCTTGGGCAATGAATCCCAGGTAATTCTGTGGGGCTTAAGCATCCAGCACAGCAAGTGTCTCATACTGGAGCAGAAAGATGCTCTGCAAAGTGCAGAGCACCCACAATGTATATGCACCTCCCCAGGAACCCTTTCTCTTGGTTCCTGATAACTGGCTGATGAGCATCCAGCAAAGTGGCCAGTTGCCATAAAAAATACAAGAGAAAGCAGAGTTTTTCAAGAGGAGAGATACAGTTTTGCTCTGCAGCATGTATTACACAGGATGCCTGGCAAACTCGGCAGGGCAGGACGTGGCTACAGTCAGATAAAAACCCTGTCCTTGACTTACTGACTGACTTAGCACTGCTGCCAAGCATGGGGCAGGGAAGAGCAGGATCAGCATTGCTGTGCGGAAAGGGCCAGACTCCATCAGCAGGAGGTGCTGGAGATCAGGAAGAAAGCATGCTGAGATGCTGGATGGCAAGAGAGGCAGCAGCAAGCCAGGACCTGAGGAGCAGAGGATCTCTTCTGTAGGACACCTGTTCCTACAGTTTCACAACCAGAAAACTCACATTACATCAGCTCTGTCAGTGCAGTTTGAACATAAAGCAACAGGAGACATTTAAAACCAAGAACCATCACATGCAGAGAATTCTAATTCCATCTTCTGCACCCATGCCAGTGATTACATTCCTCTTCTTCCCTCCATCCTCACAACTTAATTGCTCACTTATACACCTCAGCAGTCTGGGAACAGCACACACTTCAAGTCAAAAGATAATCTTCAACATCCACCTTGGATGTTGCTACTAACAGCGCAATTACTTTCCAGTGAGCTAAGATGGATTTGTGCTTGTCATTAGGCAGAGCCCTGGTTCCTGGTGCTCGGTACTTCATCTTTCTCTTTCTAAATTCAGAAAGAAAATGGGAGTGAATGGAGGACACCATCAATTAGTCCCATGGTGCCAGTAACTTTCCGGTGGCTAGAGGTCTTCATTCCAGACTTGTCTTCCTAGATAGGCTTGATGCTAAAAACAGCCTGCTTCAACTGCACAACATCCCAATCTCTCCACCCAAATCAAGACCTCTAATCCTTCATTAACTCCCACATCACCAGCACGGTGATTCTCTTGCTAACCTGCACAGCCCAGTATCTCCCTCAGCTGGAGAGCTGGTCCAAGGATTCTATCAAATCACACTTGAATCGTGCAAGCCATCCATGACTGTACAGCTAAGTTGTCACTGCTACATCTACACATGTATCAGCCACTCCTGTAAAACAATACAGCCCTGGCCAGGTTTTGCCTAGAGAGAATAAAAACCACAGCTGCCTCCAAAAAAAGCCATGTTTGCGGGAAGGAACAGAAGGCCACGAGGTGCAATGATGGCTTTAGGTCTAAAAATTCACAGTTGAGCCTTGCAGGTAAATGAGAGAGGAGGTGAGAAAACCCAGGTGGGCATCCAACACATTTCATAGACTCACAATCATAGAATGGTTTAGGTTGGAGAGGACCTTAAGATCATCCAGTTCCAAACCCCCTGCCATGGACAGGGACACCTCATACTAGACCACACTACCAAGGCTTTGTCCAACCTGGCCTTGAACACTGCCAGGGATGGAGCATTCACCACATCTTTGGGGAACCTGTTCCCATGCCACACCACACTCAACAGGGAAGAACTTCTTCCTTGTATCTAACCTGAACTTCCTTAGGTGTCCCAGGGTGGAGATGGTGCCTTTTCTCACTGCAAAACCAAAGCTAATTTACAGCTGCTCAGAATTTCTATCCTCTAAGCCACTCAGACATGCATGGAAGAATGCCCCAGTGAGGGAGATATTTGCCTAAGTGGAATCTTTCTGGTTTACTTTCTACCCTACTCCAGCTGAAAGCTCACAGCAGCCACTGTGACTTAAGCCAGAGCAAGTCAGAAATGATCATTAAAAATGAGAGGAATAAAGAGATCAACTGAACTGGCTGACAAGCACGTCCTGGCAATCCCACCAAAGCATCCTTGGCTGCACAGCAAACAGCTGGGAACAAAGCAGAGGTGAGGGGTGAGCCAGTAATGGAAATCTGCAGTGAAAAGCAAAAAAAAAAACCAAAAACAAAAGAAACAAAAGTGCAAAAGAGAAGATTTTAGGAAAAAAAACTTCACAAAGATGAATAAATGGTTTGATCTATGGACCTTTTTGTATCTTAACAGGTTGTACAGGCACACAGAGTTGATAGGCTTAGGATGTTGTCTTTGATAGTGCTTCAAGTATTTAAGTGCAACAAAATCTCATTAGATAAGTTCTTCCATGTAATTTGACTTTTTACAAGCAGGATGGCTGACCATTAAACCATTCTTGTTCATAGAGAGCTGGAGCAGCTCTGCATTGGAGCCAGGCTGAGAGAGCTGGGCTGGTTCAGCCGGGAGAAGAGAAGGCTCCTGAAGGGGAGACCTTAGAGCAGCTCCAGTGCCTAAAGGGGCTGCAGGAAAGCTGGAAAGGGGCTTGGGACAAGGGCCTGTAGGGACAGGCCAAGGGGAATGGCTTGAACCTGCCAGAGGGGAGACTGAGCTGAGCTCTTAGGCAGAAGCTCTTCCCTGTGAGGGTGCTGAGGCGCTGGCACAGGGTGCCCAGAGAAGCTGTGGCTGCCCCATCCCTGGCAGTGTTCAAGGCCAGGTTGGACACAGGGGCTTGGAGCAAGCTGCTCCAGTGGAAGGTGTCCCTGCCCGTGGCAGGGGTTGGAGCTGGAGGAGCTTTAAGGTCCCTTTCAATACAAACCAGGCTGGGATGCTGTGCTGTGCTGCTGTGGAGGATCTGAGCACACATCTTGCCAGCCCAGCAGTGGCTCAGCACTGCTGCAGCCGTTCCTCACTTTCACAGTAACTTGGTTAAACACTTGCTTTCTGTATCACCACCTCCACTAACATGCTCTGACTGACATCTGTTTCCAGAGACCGAGACCGAATTTATGATAAATGCCTGATAACTTTTCTTCTAGCAAAGCCTGGAATGAATTATAAGAGCAGCTTATTCCTTTGGATATAAAAGAAAGCAAAGAATAAACGGGAAGTTCCTGTCCTGAATGTTATGCTAACATAAATAATTAGCAAGCAATCTCTTAAAGTGCCTCGGAGCTCAAGATTTCTGTGCAGTGGTTCAGCAAGACACATGCTGTCTTACAATACTGCACTTTTCAGAGCTACCAGATAACAAAGCTCCTTGCTGAAGCCCTGCCCAAAGAAAATGCCTTGAAACCTGTTTACGCTTAGCCCCAGATCTCTAAATCCTGAGGACTGGAGGAGGGAAAAGCTAATCCTGCTCCTCAGAATCACCCCCACCTTGTCCTCCTCCTGCCTTAACTGCCTTTTGTGGATTTCATAGAATTGTATTAATCCCAGCCTGGTTTGTGTTGGAAGGGACCTTAAAGCTCCTCCAGCTCCATCCCCTGCCACAGGCAGGGACCCCTTCCACTGGAGCAGCTTGCTCCAAGCCCCTGTGTCCAACCTGGCCTTGAGCACTGCCAGGGATGGGGCAGCCACAGCTTCTCTGGGCACCCTGTGCCAGCGCCTCAGCACCCTCACAGGGAAGAGCTTCTGCCTAAGAGCTCAGCTCAGTCTCCCCTCGGGCAGGTTCAAGCCATTCCCCTTGGCCTGTCCCTACAGGCCCTTGTCCCAAGCCCCTCTCCAGGTTTCTTGTAGCCCCTTTAGGTATTTTAAGACTATCATAAGGATTCATTCCAGTTCTTCCAGATGATCTCTTTGGGAGCAGGTGACAGAAGCATTTTGTATCTCCCCCAAGGCAGGAAGAGGAGCAGAAACAGAAACACAGATGTCCCAAGTGAGAACCAAGAAGAAATGATCAAAAATACAGGGTTTTCCATACA